ATACGCCTGGGGAAAAAAACAAAAAATAACAAAAAAAAAAACAAACTATGCATCCACTTCCCCCCACTATGGGTTAATTAGTAAGACTTGTTTCACGAAACAATTAGTATTACAATATTCCAATCTATTTTCTGACTTTAAATAACTTGCAAACGGTTAATAAGCCGTAGAAAACGAATCAATGTATCAATCATTTAAAAATAAATAAATAAATAAATAAATGGACATTTCCTTGTACTTTGTACCTGGAATCCTCACAAAATGTCTCCTTACTCGTGTTCCACTTGGGCTGACCCCATAAAGATTTGATGATAAATAACTTCAGTAACGCACATTAATTTATTATCAAGCAAGGGTAGATAAAATCTGCTACATCACTTGTCAGCCTTGACAGATGCAAGTCACGATGAAAGACATTTAACTGGCCCTAATTCTAACCACTGTTTATCACCAGGTACGTATGTACAATGAATAAAATTATAGATTATAATTTTAGATCTAATCAAAGTTTTTATAAATAAAAATAAATACATAAAAAAATAAAAATAAATACGGAAAATAAATTAATCTAAGCCAAAGATAAGTAAATAAAATAAGCAAATAATAAGAAACAACGAACACAAACACAAAATAAAAGTAAACACAATAAAAACAACAAACAATAAAATATTAAATAAAAAATTATGAATAAAAACAGTTAAGAAACAAGACTATAAAATATGAAAAATATAAGCATTCTGATCCACAATTATTTCCACTCAATAGGAGACCGCTCACCGAATTAATTCTTGGAATAATACAATATGCTTACCCATAATGCACCACTGACCAGCATATATAAAGAGTATAGCCAAATCAAAACACACAAGGCCTGACGATTGCGTTTAAGCATGAAATAGATTGTCATTGATGAGTGGACAGTGTTTGATTGGGAGACTGTCTACGTAACTCTGGAGTCGAGATGCTGAAGGTAACACCCATCAACAAAGTGACACAAGTTATATCTATCTATCTATCTATCTATATATATATATATATATATATATATATATATATATATATATATATGCGATAAGTATAACGGCTAACGAATCAAGACCGATTTCGTTACATTCATTTTCACACAAATACACTTCGGAAACGCATGCATCGATCTCTGTGCTCTCCAGTTCTGGGCTAAATAACAGAATATATTTTGGTCTCTAGAATTAGTTATTACAGAAATCTTTGGGGAGAGTTACTTGATGATTTCTTGGCACACTTCGCATAATTTCTTTGTTTACTTCCGAACAATATATTCGTTTCTACACAAGCCATCATCACTACAAGTCAATTCTGTGTGCGACTCGTCAAGGATTTAAGTTCTCAAAAAACTGAAACGTTAGGCACTCATACTTCAAAATGAATGGCATAGTTCACTAATACAGAATACAGACACACGCATATAATGATTAATTAATCGTAGTTCAAATGTAGCACAAGGCCTAATGTATGGAAGACCCAGTGAAATAATTTTGTAAGCGAAACTTAGATGTAGTGAAAGACAAAATAGAACACTGACTGAGGATCGAACTCACTACTCAGATCTAACTGATCTAGCAAGACAAGTTTGTTAATAATTACCCCACATCCCCGTAATCTAAATGATTTTATAAGTGGAGCTTTGAAGTGACACAAGGCCGAATATGTGAAGCACCCAGCGAGGATTAAAAGCACTGTTCAATCGTAATAAGTACGTACACACACGTAGGGATCAAAGGATTAATAAAATGAATTATGAACACTGCACAAATATTTAGAGTACATTGTTTAAAATATAAAGGTTTTAACTAATACTTTTAAATAGTTTAATCATTTAAATATATATATATATATATATATATATATATATATATATATATATATATATATATATATATATATATATATATATATATATATATATATGTGTGTGTGAGAGAGAGAAAACATTTCGATAACTTTGTTACCTCCCTAAACGTCTCCATCTGTTTCCACATGATAGCATTTAAAAATTGTACAATACATAACCTTAGAATGTTTCACTTCATACGTAAACATTTAATTTTCAGATCAACACAACATCTCTCAACATTTACAACCTCATACACAACATCTCTCAACATTTACAACCTCATACCTGTCCACATTGAGCAATTTAGACAAATCCATGTTGAAAATAAATCTATACTTTATCATGCAAGTAATAAACTTACATAAACTAAAAATTCTTGAAGATAACTAAATTAAAAATTGAAGATAACCAATGACCATTTGAGCCCTGATAACCACTTTACCGCTAGTAGAGAAAATGACGTAATGCCCAACCACCGGTTAAACGTTGGGTAAACACTTGTGTCGTGTTTTTCTATTGGTTTCCTTATTTTGAAGAGCCAATCGGAAAAGATCTAATATTCTGATGTCATCAAAAGTTATACCAACATGTCCGCATCTATTCTTGGTGTTTTGTGCATGTGTTTTGGATAAAAATATCGTTTTTCACCATAAAGTGTGCAGAGTCTCATACTGGACCGTCAGGGAAGCAATCAGGGAAAAAAACGTTCGAGAAAAAAAATCTACACATCGCGGCAAGTAATTGAATTTTGACTCAGGAGATCAAGCAGAAGGATTACAAGTATCCAGGCACTCAGGTGTCAAAGGATTAATAAAATGAATTATGAACACTGCACAAATATTTAGAGTACATTCTTTAAAATATCAAGGTTTTAACTAATACTTTTAAATAATTTAATCATTTATATATATATATATATATATATATATATATATATATAGAGAGAGAGAGAGAGAGAGAGAGAGAGAGAGAGAGAGAGAGAGGGAAACATTTCGCTAACTTTGTTACCTCCCTAAACGTTTCCATCTGTGTCCACATGAAGACATTTAAAAATTGTACAATACATAATCTTAGAATGTTTCACTTCATAAGTAAACATTTAATTTTCAGATCAAAACAACAATGTGGTATTAGAAAAATAATGAACGCAACAATTTCTTCTCTTAGAAAGACGAGACCCTGAAGATGACATTGTGCTAATGTCGAAAGTACTTGCAATAAGATGAATATACATCAGCATGAGAATTTTATTTCTTTCTTTAATAACGATTCTAAGAAATTTGTCCGTAATTATAGGCGGATCGTATTAAAATAAGTAGACAAAACTTGTCTATATTATTTAATGAGGCATATCCTAATATATATATATATATATATATATATATATATATATATATATATATATATGTGTGTGTGTGTGTGTGTGTGTGTGTGTGTGTGTGTATTCAGGCAGCAATCCTTCTTTCATGCACATTTCATTGTATACGACAGACAAGGTGCTTTTATTTAGTTTTTTATACAATGTCTCATGTGATCTAATAACTGTTTTTCTTTTCGGCTGATAAATTACATAAAAGCTGCCGAAAGTTTTTTTTTTCGTCTATACATGTAGCCATTTTCAATGATAAATAAATATTTTACCTGTTAAATAAGAAACAGTTTGTTGTATGTATGTTTTATAAAATGTTTTCATTTTTCAAAACACGGTCAAAATTTTGTGTCCATGTTCGTTAGTGATATTATTAAGTGTTGTCTTTTTTGTTTTTATTAATAAGGCGTCCATTACTTTTAGCCTTTTTTGCATGGATACTTACCGGACACTATTCGTAACATACTTGTTGACAACACTAATATAATAGCATCATCTACATGCAAAAAGGCTAAACATAATATATATATATATATATATATATATATATATATATATATATATATATATATATATATATATAGTGGTACTCATTTGGAAAAACCTTAGGTATTTCAAATGGTCGTTGGGATCCCGATAACTTTTGCTAGCGCTGAGAGGGATGACCTGATCAACAGTAGAATATTATAGGGGTATTTATAGTGCCATGTCATGCATAGGTAGGTGTTTCTGAATTTATTTCCGAAGGCAAACCCTGAGGCCTTATTATGTTCTGATTTCGCACTCTAGATGGTTTGTATTGCTATTGACGACACATAGTGACAATTATGGTGGTATTTTCCTCTTTCCTGAATCCATATTTCATAGAAATCACAACAAAAAGAAATGAAGCTAAAAGAGCTAACAAAAAAAAAAAAAATTCACCTAATCCCCTAAGTCTTTATTTCACCAATATTCGTGCCTATTAGTCCTACTTCTTTTGGGGAAGTTCCTAGAAGTCCTAATCAATGCTGAATTGGTTCATCGTCCCTCATCGCAGGACTTTTTCGCAGAAAACCAATACCGCTTTCGTTTTTACAGGTTAACTGCTGATAATTGTGGGAAGAGTGCCTAGATGTAATTTGCAAAAAAACTAGACACCAAGCATTTCGAATTATATTTTTGAATATACAGACTCTCTACATAGAATTTTGCCGTAACATGGTATTTCTAACCTCATTTCTTCATTTGCCGTTTGATATATCATTGCACTGACCCTGGAAGTAATCGTGTGTAGCACAACTAGAATAAAATTCTGAGGTACTTCACAGATTTGATTGCTGAATATGTAGAGTACAAAGCAAAGAAATAACTCACCACTTGTCTGAAAATGAATTGATTGAATATAGACCACTTTCCATCTTCTTTCTATAAATTTGGCTTCAGTCAATGTATGACTTCTTTCTTTTCTACATTTAACTTGCTACCAATCTTCTGTCTTTTTTTAAAGTTTATTTCACCTGAGTTTTGTGTTCTGACTGATTTCGTGATGAAAGTTCAATTAAATTACACCTTCTTTCCTAGTTTGTGTTTGCTTAAGATGATGATGTGGATTTGATGCAATCATTGTCATTATCACTGGTAATGGTAGAATGAAATCTCATTTGAGTTTGAAGTAATCTTACTGATTGCAACCTGACGTTGTTAGAGGCTTGATTAGACGAGATAAATAAAAAAAGAGAAAAATAATTTAGAATAAGTTTGAAAAAGTAAGGGAGATTAAAAAGGAAAACAGTCGACAAAGCAAAGAGTAAGAAAGAGAAGACAGAGAGAGAGAGAGAAATTAATGAAATGAAAATGAAAGAGACTTGAAAAAAAGTGGAAATGCAGAAAGAAATGAGGAAACAGAATACAGGAAAGAGAAGGAAAAACATAAAATGGGGAATAAAGAAAATATAAAGGGGAAAAAAATCTTTGGAAAAAGAAAGAAAGAAAGAAAGAAAGAAGAGATAAAAACAAGCCAGGAAACAAGCTAAGAATGAATGAAATAATATAAAAGGGTACAAGAAAGTAAATAGAAAAAAAGAAGGAAAATGAAAGAAACGTGGAAATGAATAAAAAACAAAAAAAAACGAAATAAAAAAGAAAGCAGAAAAGAATGAAGAGAAGGAAAAAAAGAAAGTAATCTCCAAACGAAAAAGAAAAACGAAATAAAAACAGGAATAAAAAAATAATAGAAAGAATGAAAATGAAAGAAAGTTTTAAACGTAGAAAAAAGGAAAGTAATAAAAAAAATCAAAAGCTGAAAAAGAAAGTTGAACAGGAAACCCTTATAAAAAATGCTGACCTTTGATCATGTCGTCAGATTTTGGGATGTGAGTCGAAACCTGAAACTTTCAACATTTCTCTTATCTATATCTATATCTATTATTCTCAAAATCTGTGTATGTATACATTATTGTCCTCATCTTTTTCGCCATATTTATCACAACGTTTCGGCCGTTGTACGCTCCGGCCTTCTTCAGGTGGCTGCAATTTTGCTGTTATCATTGCATGTTTTTACCAGAGCTCATATTGCATCTTTTTATCATTGCTTTTTTCTGGCACTCATTATTACTGGTTCCCATATTGTATTTATTTCTATGCTTTGTCGTCCCAGGTGTGTATGTATGTATGTATGTATGTATGTATGTATGTATGTATGTATGTATGTAATCGGAGGTTGTCTATGCCGTTGTTTATACCGTTCTACATTTTACATCCGATTTCGGTGATTTTTTCTTTTGTTTGATAGATAATTCTTCAGTGCCGGATTGGCTGGAAAAATTACAACCTTGAACGTGAAAAATTGAAAAAAACTCATTTATTTACACTTTGCGCCAAAATGAAAGGCAAAATTTAATGTCTGTAAAAGCAGCGTACAATCAATTTACAGAGTTGAAATCTAAAGCAAAAAAAAAAAGATGATTAGAATTATAAAAAATATATTATAAATAAAAATTATCGTATATTATTATTATTATTATGACGGTCCATGGAAGAGGTTCATTCCTTGCAAGATTGAGAACGCAAAAAATGTCCGTTTCAGGGCCCCCACCCATGCAAATTGTTATTCCCTCCTGCCATTTGGGGATATACATCAGTTGCACCCAATTGCTGTTACTAATATTGATTTTCAGACAGGCTAACTTTAAACGTAAACTGCTCCAACTGAACGGCAAAAATTCCCAGTAATGAAACACCCGGCCGAAGACGGGTAATACTGCTAGTATAGATATATGAGGGTAATTATTACAGTTCATGCCTATTCAAAAATAGTCTAAAGAAAGTTCCACTTTAAAAATTCACATATTTATTTTAAATACACATGATGTTCGTTAAATATATAGTTTCGATAATGTTGACTTGTTGAAAAGTTATGAAAGATGTTCTTTTATCGCTGCAGTAATAATTGCCTTGAAAAAGAAAATAGCCAATATGGCATTCAAATTTTGGGAGAAGCTTCCGACTTAATGCTCCAGACGGAAATTATGGCGAATGCAAATAATGTGTAGATCCAAAAAGCTGAAAGACAAAAAGAACGTTCCTGATTTATTAACCTACAAGACTGATACCCAGAAATGCAACTAAAGTTAAAAAAAAAAAAGTAAATTCCTCACTGACTGTTAGTGGACATTGATGTAACAGTGGTTACCTAATGAAGGTGAGAAAGTAAAACGACTAAGTTGAAATTATAGCAAATTAGATGAGCAAACGATTCGGATTTGGTTTGCTTTGTTTTGTTTTACGGCATATCAACCTCAGTGGGTCATTTAATACCGACAACTATTTTATTCATGGTAATATTTTTGTTTTTTCAAAAATCTATTTCTGTTAATATTTTCGTTCCTCAAAAATGCATAGCTGGTAATAATATTTTTTTCAAAAACGTATAGCCAGCAACATTATTCCTTCAAAAACGTACAGCTGGTAATATTATTCCTTCAAAAACGCACAGCTGGCAACATCATATTTTCGAAAACGTATTATCAGCGGCCTTGCTGTTGGAAATAGTCCATCGTCCCACCGAGGATGCAGATGTAATTTCTCGTCATACCCAGGACGCGCAGGATTCGGAATATATATATATATATATATATATATATATATATATATATATATATATATATATATATATGAAAAAAAATATATACGGAAAAAACAAACAAAATCATTATATACAATTATGCTGTTTTAATATAAGGATTTTTTTTTGTTTATTTTCCGTATATATTTTTTCTTCATACTATCGGATCTATATCCATATATTTGCTTATATATATATATATATATATATATATATATATATATATATAAAGAAAAGAACAGTAAGATATATATAATCCGGTGTTCTTATAGATATTTTTATTTTTACAAAATAGTGTTCAATATAAATTTACAAAGCATTAATATTATAAATTAACTAGTTTAAAATATGTTTTTTTCGCTACACAGTTCTAACCATGTTTAAAAATGGAAGCCAAAATCTTAGAATTTAATTTTGTAATTAAATTAAAATTTTGGAGTAAATTCAAGAAGTTATTCCAAAAATTCGCTCGAGGATGAAATGGAACTAATGTCTTTAATTTAATTATAAAATGAAATTCTAAGCTTTTAGCTTCCATTTTTAAAACATGGTCAGAACAGTGAATCGAAAAAAATATTTAAATTTTAATTATAATATATATATATATATATATATATATATATATATATATATATATATATATATATATATATATATATATATATATATATATATATATTTACAAATTATGACATAAATATGTTATAAAATCACTACAAAAATAGCCATTTTGTTTCAACACCTCCAGTGTCTTATCAAGTGATGATGCTGAATGTATCCACATCATCACTTGATAAGACACAATAGGTATTGAAACAAAATGGCTATTTTGTAGTGATTTTATAAACATATTCATGTTATAATTTTTAAATAAATAATTATATCTACTCTACTCTCTGAGCACTCATTTAAGAATAGTAATTGTTGGTTATTAGAATTCATTCCGTATACACCAATCATATATATATATATATATATATATATATATATATATATATATATATATATATATATATATATATATATAGTCTTAGTGGCCTAGGGAAGAATATCAAAACTGGTGGAGAAAAAAATTCTGAAGTTAAACACACACACACACGTATGTGTATATATTTAGAAGAAAGAGTCCACGTCTGCGTTTAAAGTATGTAAGAAAGATAGGCTGGTTAATAAAACAAGGGTAGATGAATGGGTAACTATGTGATCAGTAGGTAAAACATTTATTAAATATTAATTATTAACCACAAGGAAAAATGTAGCAGGGCAATTAAGGTTACGAGTCCGGAATTTTTGGGCAACCCTCTGTCCTTATCAGCGGTGCAAGAAATAAACAGAGAAACGACGAAGACTCACCACTGGTGGTCTGTGTGTTTGATATGAATCCTGGTGTAGATGGTATTAGTAGTAAAAATCCGATTTCTGTCTGGATCATCGGTGTGCGAAACTTTTTTTGAAAATTAATTTAGATTCCCAAATTTGGATCAGTGTGGGCAGGAGGGTTTTAGGATCTTGAACATAGAGGAAAAGGGTCATAGGATTTGGTGGGGAGAGATGTCCCGTGTGTGGTCAGTTCTGAGAGATTTGGCTGATAGGAAAAGAGTGTAGGAACAAAAGGAAAATGGTAATAACAGCTAATGAAAATAAAATTCAATAAGAAAAAAAAAAAAAGAAAGGAACAGCAAAAAAGGATAAAAAATCTTGATAAAGAATTCTTTTCGAAAACCATTGTCAGAAAATATGTGTTCCGGAAAAAAGAAACAAATAATAATAATAATAATAATAATAATAATAATCATAAAAACTAATAATAATATAAGAAAAATAGGGGGAAAGGCGCATCCAAAAATAGATGCGCTTTGTGCATAAGTGCACCTAACAGTGTGTAAATATACACTAGCTACCACATAAACTTGTGAAATAATAAGTGTCAGAGTAGACAAATATAGTAGCTTCGGAAATGGCCGTTAAAATTTAAATTTAAAATGTAGAGGGGGGTTAGCCATTCGAGGAATGATGTTGCTGGTACTGGGTTTCCATGAGGAAATTATACTCTTTGAGTAAACTCAAATCTCTGTTTAATCCTTTTATGTGGGAATTTCCTTTTAGGATGTACTTCAACTCTGATCTGCGTCTATCTTTCTGGCTGTCGAACCCAGACGCTAAAAGCACGGATTCGACGTCGTCGTTGCTGTGAGTAGGTTGGTATCGATAGTTTTTAATTGCTGTTTTCCCTGTTTCTTTTCTTGTGGTCATTGAACCGTAACCGGAATTCTGTTCCGGTTTCTCCCAGATAATTCCTCTTCTCCCATTTGTGCAGAAGAGATTGGAACTGTCAGAGCTTAGAGCAGGTGGTCTGAATACTACGTGAGAACCGGGGGGGGGGTGATACAAGTCTCAAAAGATATACATCTCCGCTTCTTCCCAACTACGCAACCTTGCTCTTAAAGCAGCTTACTTCAGACAACAGTCACTTTCCTATCGTTGTAAAAGATCCGGCTCTATCCTAAAAAAATCACTAGAACTCAACCGCTCCTCGGAAGTGTTTCACGCCCTACAAATCATATGCAACAAACATCTTAAATTATGCCTAACCCGAAAGTACAGGATATGCAATCGAATCAACAACGACAATTTCCTGAAACTTCTCAACTACAAACAGAACCATATTCATGTTAACCAACCTCTTCATCATCAACATCGTCATATCTAATCCGACACCCATACGACTCTACAAACCAACTACATCAATTTATCCAACTACAAACAAACAACTGAAGAACAGACAGTGTTATCAAAAAGACTTTCTCTTTGCCCATCCAGAAATTTCGAACCCGTAGATTTATATTACGACTTAGAAAACCTTCTCCACAACATCAAATTAAGGGAATATTTTTCCACCACCAACAACCACAAAGCTTCCATCACCCAAGACAAGGCATACAGCAAATCACGCAAGTCTACAAATTGGAGTCCACCCAACGGACGCAACAAACACATTGATTCATGCACAAAAAGGGCCAAAAACCGCCTAGACAAACTTATACCAAAAAAAAACTCCATCTAAACCACAAACATCTTCAACAGACATGAACGGTCGGTCATAAAATCCCTCCAAGCAAACAGACCTAATTATAAAACAAGTCGACGAGGGCGGTTCAATCATGGATAAGAGTAAATACATCGCAGAAGATCCCACTGAGGATTTTATGTCTGAACTCCTGTCTCTTATCAGACTACTAGATCACAACTCACAGGCAACAATCAAGGACCTGATCCCGAATAATCCCAGAACCGGTACATTCTACACCCTCCCCCAAAGTACACAAAGTCCCTATAATAATCAGAGACAACCAGCATCATCTCTATAGAGGACATCAACAACAACCCACATGAGATGCATAAGTTGATGGCATCCTTACGTTCCATCTACACGGCCGACATATAGTTTCTGATATAGTCATTATGTTTCATGCTTGAATGAAATTTACAGCCTGTATATATTGTACCCCACGCAAGCACACATATATTATGGTAAATACATACATACATACATACATACATACATACAGATAGATAGATAGATAGATAGATAGATAGATAGATAGATAGATAGATTGATAGCCTGGTTAATAAAACAAGGGCAAACGAAAGGGTAATCAATGTGATCAGTGCGAAAACATTTATTATATATTAATTATTAATCACAAGGCAGAAATGAAGCAGGGAAATTAAGGTTCTTAGTCCGGAATTTTCAGGCAAGCCTGTGTCCTTCATCAGTAGTGTGAGAAATCAACAGAGAAACGAGGAAGACTCACCAGCGGACGGTTGTCCTTGTGGCTGAAATATAAAAGGTTCGAAAAATCTGCGATCTGGTTCTTGGGGAAATCTCTGGTGCTCAAAAATTCTTGCAGGTGAGTATCTCCTCCTCATGCCATAATGACTCCATTTGAGATTGAAAAAGCAATTCATACTACTTTAATACACATACATCCATATATATATATATATATATATATATATATATATATATATATATGTGTGTGTGTGTGTGTGTGTGTGTACTTATAAAATCTCGCTAAATAGAATATATATATATATATATATATATATATATATATATATATATATATGTGTGTGTGTGTGTGTGTGTGTCTGTGTGGAGGGGGCTACATCTAAAATGTCGGTAAAAGAGAGAATACACCCCCAAAATAATAAAAACATTTTATTGGCAAAACCATTTCCATTTTTATTTAGACAAAAGACCAAAGTTTATATTAAATATGATCCTTTTAATAACATTAGAATTTTTACTTAAAAATCTTATTTTTCTAACCCCAAGGCGGGAGCATGAATCATTACGTGTCATTTGAGCTTCGCTTTTGTGTGGAAAACAAATCGATTTGGAAATTCTTGCAAAAAATCTGATAATTGTCGGATATGAGTTAAAAATTCAGAAATAATTGAAGAGATTTTGGGTGCTTTCATGCTTAGAAGATCATTATTAAAATAGGTATTATTTCTATCTCTGTAACCTCACTACTCATTTGATATTATGAAGTGTCAAGAAATTATGGTTTGTAGCGCTTAATGGTAGCCATAAGTTCAAGTCGTCAGAGAATTTAAGTCATGAATGTTTGGTCAAGCAGGATTCACTGTTACAGAAAATCTACCTAAATCTAAAAATTAAAATGCAATAACGCTAAGACATTAAATTAGAGAAGCGTTTAATTGCTTTTGTGAATAAAATATGACACTATCGTCATGAGAAGAAAAAATTCGCTGAGTAATGATTTTTTACAAGAATGATTTTGATTTTTAATTAGAATAATTTATAAAGATTCAAATCTTTTAAAATTCTGCATTAATTTGTATCGATTTAATGATAATAGAAAGGATCACCTCAATGGCCCACAGTATTTTAAAAAGAATTTTGAATTTGTTTTATGTGTGTATAATCGTGTCTCTTTATTTTTAATACGGATGTCCATACACCAATAAAGCTGTAATTATCGTAAATTAAAAATCCATTGACCATTTCCTCGACAAGTGTCTTTACAAATAAGGATCTAAAGCCAAAGTACCTAAAGTTCAATAAAATATTAGACTGCTTATAATATTTTCTTAATTTTTAATGATTTCTGGGTAGTTTTAAAATTATATAAAAAATGCATTCGCATCATATTGCGCAAGTAATTTTTACAGTTACGTACACCTTAGGTAAATTTTTGAAACATCTGTCTGTCCATAGAGCTGTGAACACGTCATGAAACATTCCATCTGTGTCATCACAATGCTATTCTGCGAAATTTAAACTAAATGTAATATTTATTTCATTTCAGATTAATTAAAATAAGCTAATCTTCCACATATAACATTTCAGAAAATTATATTTTGATTTGAAATAAATTTTCGAAAGAGAATTGTCTTTTTTGACTGATTTTTCAATATGAATGATTCTATAGATTTTGCTGATCATCAGAAGAAAAAGAAAATATTCCCATCAATTTAAACTCAGTTGAAATCCAGCAAAGTACTTCTGTTAGAAATATTAAATTGAGTCTATTAAGCAACTAGAAGGGAAAGCCTGGAACGCTTCAGTTTAAATATGACGGCAGTACTCCGGCTTATCTGGTGACTTCTAAAGATATCGAATAGCTTTGTATACTTCTGACGCGTTCTATAGCCATTTGCCATTTATATTTCAGCAGAGAAAGATGGACCAGAAAGCTCAGTTTTGTTATTTTCTATCGTTATCTATACACCTTTACATATTCATGACTTAGAACCAACTTCATCCATGATAATTATCAGTAATGTTCTACCTTGGGCAGCTCACCAGCGTTTTTGGTGACCCTTAGTATAGGAATCTCACAACTTTCCTGCCCATGTTCTCGTTGATATTTACAAATATCTTTTGTTGTTTATTAACTATCAATGCGTGTGAGGTAGACCTTTGTCATTATATCTAGTAGCAGTTACTTACTTCTAGCCTCTTAGCCTTCTTCGCTCTTGTCCGATTTATCTGCAGTATAAAAGTGTATGAGATGTCCGCGCGAATTAAACCAGGTATTTCACTGGAGGCCGTGACTGGATTAGGACGATTGCAGATTATTTTTAAAGAGTGGGGATATGACATCCACATCATTTGTTCTGAGAAAAAATACGAGGACAAATTAGGTTGTAGAATATATATATATATATATATATATTTGTGTGTATATATATATATATATATATATATATATATATATATATATATATATATATATATATATATATATATGTATATTTATTTACTTATTTATTATAATTTCATCATGTAGACAAAACCATTTTACTTACTACAAAGATGCAACTTGGTTTCAGTGCATTTCAACTGCACTTCGACGGGTAAGAATCGAAAATGTTTATGAACAATCCTGCTTGTAGGCAAGCCGTATGTGAAATGTCACTTTCTTTTTTTTCTCCATTTGTTTGTGAAAACATTATAGGTGACGGAGTGAAACAATAGTGCTTGTTGATATTAGTTTGGTCTTGAATGCATTGAACGTTGGAATTTATATATTGTTCTCATCACATCGTATATATATATATATATATGTGTGTGTGTGTGTGTGTGTGTGTGTGTATTTAGCTAAGTTTTAACCTCCTTTGAGATAGTCACCTTGAACAGAAATATTCTGCTAATTTTGGTATCCGTCGTTTTCTGTAAGCGAGTCGAGGACCTTCGGCGATCCACGCAGAATCTCGGAAACTGTTTTAAAACGGTGACCTTTGAGTTGCATTTTCAACTTGGGGAATAAATGGCAGCCCGATGGTGCTAAATATGGCAAATAGGGCTAGAAAATCCTAATTGAAGAGAACTTGATGACAGAGTTCAATCTTTCGTGTCACTGAGATTCTACCTCAAACGCCTTAAAATGTTGCAGTAGAAATCACGGGTCTGAATTCTCGATGCACAATACCGAAGATGTCGAAAAAATCGATGATAATGTCACTGAACGTCAGAATGTTTTTTTCTTCTTATTTCAACATCTAAACTGACAACATCCTCGTGGTCACCAAACCCTTCATCACCGTCGTTGATAAGGAAACAAGAAATTACCTCCTTCATGATGTGGCTGTTACTTGGGGGTCATAATATCAGGGTCAAAGAAATTGAAAATCTTAATAAATACGCCGTCCTCTGGAATGAAGTTAACAAAATGTTAGGTGTTGTAGTTAATTTTGGGGTGTTAGTGTCTATACATGCGCAGCATCAATGGCAATATTGTACAGAAGATCTCCCTATTCTTCTCATGACGACGGGGAATATTCCTAATCAAGTGATATATATGTCTCATCATCTCACCCCATGCAAGGCAATAGATCCACTAAGTCACAATGGGTTACCGAATGTGAAAATATAAGAACAAAGAGAAACATTATTAAGGAGCGAAGATTTTAGAAGAATAACCAATAGGACAGTAGATAACGATTGACATTACAAGATTATTTGGAAAACATGAAACTGGAAGAGACGTCCACAGGCGAGTAGAAACTTTAGCAAAGAACTTACAGTTACGTCTACCCAACTGTAAACTGATTAGACCTTGTCGTCAATCTAATACTGTGTCTAAATGTACTGTAGAAAAGGAAAACAATATTACGTTTTATATTTTAGACGGCTGGTTAAGTCCTGAAGCCATTTGACAAAAATTTAAATTTTCGATGAAACTCCAAACCAAGCAGTATTAATAAAATGCACAAAAATACTTGAATGTTATCGTTGGGTGGAAGGCTTATTAAATTAAAACCAACAGCCCGGATGGAGGGTACTTAACTCTCAATTGTCCGTGACCAAGGGCAGCATTCAATTTAAATGCCATCAGATGTATTATGAGCTGGGGAGGGATGGGCTTCGTCAGGTCTACTTGTCCATATTTCTCTCTCTTTCGACCCGTGGAGGGAAGCAGCAAGGTGTTCCACTACGCAGTGATACTATGGTCTCCGTCCTGTCATGGGACTAATGATGATGATGATGACGATGATGATGATGAGGGGGGAAGATTTCACTCTTAAGAATTCTCATGGTTAGTTGTTAGCAAAGAATCAGACACATTATTTGCAATATCATTTCCAAATGCTTCACATGTCCCTTCCTTTCATTTGCTACTGCTATGAAAATTTAAGGAATTTAAAATTAAAACAAAATTATGTTTAAAACAAAAAGAAACAAAATGAGATGATCTCTCTGCCTTCACCCCCTGCACTCCATTTCTGCTGTCACTGGCCGCTCGGTTTCAAAGCCAGGTGTGTGTGTCTAGATATAGGTAATAAATATTTTTTTTTAAATTATAAAATGTATATGGACGGGACAGTAGTGCTTGCATTCACTGGAACATTCGGAATAATGAGAAGAATATTTGTAAAAAAAATATCTTTAAAAGTATTCCAAAAAATAAATAAAGCTGCTGAAGTGACACATTGACAAGGATCTAAGTGTAGTATCTGTTCTCCTCGCCTTTAACTGTAATAGCAACATTAGCCGTTTCCCTGTGCAGAAACATTCGGCATTCGTTGACCAGGCTGCCAGTGATACTCGAGTTCGGCTTTTCTAAAATCCCTGAACATCCAGCAAGGATCAAAGTACAGTATCCATTCACATTAGGGTAATCGTAATTATTATTGTTTCCTTATAAGGAAACGGATGTTAATTGACTGAACATTGCTATTGTCGATTGATATTTCGAAATATTTCCATTAAAACAATCTTTCAGGAAAAGTTGGTTTCGCAAGGCTAATTGATGTTATTTCTCTTTCTAGTTTTGATAGGATTTTCCTCCCTAACCTTCTGTATAAAATAGTGTAGAATCTCAAAACACAAATCAGAGAAAACACTACAAATTACATTTAAAATAAGGGAACGGCACCAGCTTAAAACATCTTCTCAAAATAGGGTAATTCTTGCCTCTACAGGTGAAGTTTTAAAGTCTTATGTAAGAGGTCATGTTAATAAGAAGACAGGTAAACCTCTTTTTTTCTACTCTGTCTAGAATAAAATTAGGATTGAATAAACTCATGAACAAAGAACCAATAAGCTAAATATCAAATAACTAATTTTAGAATTGACGTGAGCATATAAAACTAAATATGAATATATTAAAATGTTAAATAAATTAAACTGAATATAAATAAAAATTGAAATCACATATTTAATTAAAATGAATAAAAACAAGCTCAGGAATATTAATGATGTAAAACTTTAGCAAAACAACAAAAAAAAAAACAAAACAAAAAACATCAAAACTTTTCGAATAAAACCTCTACCGACATATTTGTATAGCCTACACAAAGAATAGTATGAAATAGTTTGATGTTCACTTAAGATGTGAGAATCACAGTCCCTATTAACACACACACACACACACGCACACATACACACACACACACACACACACATATATATATATATATATATATATATATATATATATATATATATATAGATATGTATAAATATATAATAATATTAACAATAGTGCATTAACAAATTTTATATAAAGGGATGTAACTTTAAATATCATATTTTATTTTCCCCCCAACTCTGAAGTTTCCTGGTAATATACATTCCTCAAGAATGGACATTACCAAGACACTTTGAACTCGGGAAACAACAAAAAATATCTGAAGTTCAGTAATTTTCACACACACACATACACATATATATATATATATATATATATATATATATATATATATATATATATATATATATATATATATACATATGGGCGTATTTCTCTAAACCATTAGAACACACTGATAACGCCGAGAGAGGAATTGAAGTTTCGAATAATATTTAACTGAAAATATGAAAATTTAGCAAAGAAAAATTAATATCGTTCTAATGCAACGTGGGAACATTTCGCTTTCAGCTGAAAAACGTAAAGAAAATCTTGATGCAAAAACACATAGACTAACATTGTGTAGATGTCCCACCCCGCGGTCTTAAAAGTCTAACAAAAGAGGAATATAGAATGAGAAACGAAAAATAATATTGTATCAAAGATTTTGGAATGAATGTGAGCAAAACGCAAATATTGATTTCAGAATCTGATTCTACTGTTTCTGAAAAGAAACCTTCCAAGAAAGGAAAATGAACGTATTAAAGTTACCCTCTTAGAAATGCAGAACTGTGGAACATGAAAAAGGCTTCCATTGTAACTGAAGTTTTATGGATAAAATAATAATTTAAAAAGCATAAGCAAACAAAACTGAAACCCCAACACTTTTGTACTACCAAAAGTTCAAAATATCATTGTTTTCTTTTCTTTCTACATTATTATTCCGACGAATGTTATAGTAAGATTTTAAAAAAAAAAAAATAAAATAAAATAAAACGAATAATCTACCAAAGAATGTTGGCTCAGAAAATTCTAATTCCCAGAACGATTTGCAACATTAGACATGAGATGGGCAGAGGTTATGTTATAAGTGAAACTTTTCTAGTTCTGAGATTATTATAGGAAAAATCATTTGAATTTGAACCACAATTAAACATATTTCATAACCATGAATATTGACGTTAGCTTTTCTGCTTTCAATTGCACTCAATATTCGTTTGAGAAAATACAATTATAGAATTGATGATTGTAATGGAATCACACTAATTCCAACATCCATTTGAGAAAAAAAAATAGTGATATATATGCTAGACATTATTAGGAAGATTTGATAATTATGTTTAAGTAATTCATCGAGTCTGAAAGAAGCCTCAACGGAATGCAGAAAGCACTGGACGGCCGTTTCGTCCTATATTTGGGACTCATCAGCAGGGCGCATCCACTACCGAGTATTGAAACCCTGACAGTTAGGTTGTCAAGCAAACATCATACCAACTGTTCC